TTCCAAACTAGTGATTCTGTGATTCTGTGAAAGAGAATCAAGTTATTCCAGGGAAAACAAAACAGAGAGTCAACATCGTGTCTCTCTTGATTCAGTTCCAGAGACTGTGTTATTAAGCGTCAAGAGTACCTTTGGCCCACAGGAGATGGGAATAACTAGGCTTTGAAATGAAAGCTTATCAGGATCAGAGCACTCAAAGACAGAGGTACAGCAATTAGCCATACTATTTAAGCGTCAGTAAATCACCTTCTCAGAGCTCATTCTGAGAAAAACTGTATCACAAACTTTCTTTTTTAAAATCTGTGTTTTTCTCTTGACATCTGATACTAAATAATATATATAGATAAATTCAGGGAAAAACTTTTTTTTTATGAAAGTGTTTCTTTCATTTCCACACGAGCACTTCTCTGTTCTTTTGCCAACTGAGTGATGCAGGAGAGGACAGCACAGGACACCTTCCTATTGAGCACTGCCCTGAAAGGGATCCAGTCTTGGACAACCTCAGACAAGCAGAAAAGTCCCCAGACTGCAGGAAGTGCAGTTTCTTCTATTCTGGCTGCCCCAGTGGTTACTTACCCCTTCTGGGAGAACTTCAGTGCTGTGTGGATGGGGTAGCCCAGCACCCCCATGATGCTGCAGCTGGCATGGCATTTCAGCAGGGACCGAACCATGTCCTCTTTGCCCAGCTGACATGCAAGATGCAGAGCAGTCAACCCTTCATGGCTCAGGTGGTCCAAGCCAGCAGTTGGGGCTCTGCCCAGGAGCTGGGAATAGGAGACAATTGATAAATATATACAGAGAGACATGGAAGAGTCTTTCTCTTTCTCTCTGAGCTCTGAGGACAGACGCTGGAGCACTGGGCTCCTTAAGATGCTACAGCCTGTCCTCACCACCCCTGCTTCCAACACACCAGCTATGGAAGCGCTCCTTGGTTTCTCTCCCCAAAGGGTTGACCATTGCTCTCTGTGCTCTATTCCTCTGGCCCATGTGCTTCTGAGACACCCCTCAGCCAAAAAGGGCTCGCAAAACAACACAGCCCAGCAGACTCTCACCGTCAGCTGCAGAACAGTAACACTGCATGAGTCAAGCTCAGCCCAATTGAATGACAGCACTAACTAAAACCAATAGTTTCCTCTCCTGCCATGGCCTTATCAGTTACCATGGTCAGTCAGCAGGCAGGGGCTCAACATCCCCTGCAACCCTGCTATTGCTTTGGGATACAAACAGGATTCTGTTTATGTATGTGGGGATATGTTTGAAGGAATTTTCCAATTCTCCCTGTAAATTTTAGACGTGTTACCAGCTGACTGACTTGTGGCAGTGCGATATTTTTGTGTAACACTGGGGAAACCCTGCAAGCCCTACTGCGCACAAGAGAAGCAGGAATTTAGAGTTTCTATTTTCTGGCTTAGTAAGGAATCAAGAGAGAAAAGAAACAACCAAGAGACAGATCAGACCTGGAAGTATTTCTGTAACTACTAGCCAAGTTGCCACCACCAGAAAAATCTTTTTAATACAAAGATCCTAACCGCCCTGCTCCACAGCATGGCAAGCCCCAATCGTCATCCTTCCATCATTTATTAGGAAATCCCAGCACAGTCTGGCAGGGGGAGGGAGAGCTGTCACAACAGGTATTGGGCAAAGGTGGGAGGGTGCAGCTGTAGGGGAGAGCTGGTCTCACACTCGCACTGAGTGCTAGGGAGCTGATAGACCTGAGGAACCAATGTGGAAGGCCACCCACACCCTTACGAACCCTGACAACTCTGTCTCGTGCTTCTAAGCAATCCAGAACGTCTCTGGCTTCAAATTGTCTCTGCCTCGAGGCTCTGATTGCTGTTCCCTGCACAAGGCCACTCAGTTCAAACAACAGGTTCTGCAGGCTCAGGAGAGCCCAGGGCAGCTCCAAACTGTCCTTCAGTCTGCAGGCAGCACACACTCCCCGACACGAGCACTCTGCCCAAAACTAAATACCCTGCCTGGAAAAGACAGAGAAGGGACAGCCAGGGGCCTGGGGAAAGGCAGAATGAAGGCCTAATGCAAATGCCAATGAAGTACGCTTTCTGAGGAAATTTGCTTAATATCTCTGTTACACTGTGGCGTGGAATTTGGAGCCTGCTTACAGAAAACAGCACCAGTATACATGGAAGAAAGAGGCTGAAACCAGCCTTAAGCATTAACTCAATGCTGCAGCAGCGGGAACAGACTTTCTCCTCCCCTGTCTGCAGCTATTTTCCTGTCTCCCTCCTCACAACATAGAGAGGACCCATTCTACTCCCACTCCCCCCAGCTTTGAAGTCGCTCCCACCTCGATGATCTGGGGGTTGTTCCCTTGTACAGCATAGTGGAAAACAGTCTCCCCGTTCCTGTCAGTAATGTCCACCCGTGCATGGCACTCCAGCAGCTCCAGCAGGCACTCCATGTCTCCCTTGCGGCACGCCAGGTGCAGCGGGGTGCAGCCATCCTCGCTGTCCCTACTGTTCACACAGCTGCAAAAGAGGAGTCAATGTGAGGCCAAAGAAGGGCTGCGAAGACGAGGATGTGCAGCTGCTCTGGGAACTGATACAAAGGTATCTTCCATGTCTGCAACAGGCCCAGCTGTGCAAACCATGAGGTTCATGAAAGCCCGGCCTCTTTCCGGGGAAGGACCACAGGGAAGGACCATCAAGAAGCCCTGCTACGGGCCCTCGCCCTGACATATGACAGCCTGCCATATTGGAGCAGCTCCCCCTGCCCAAAGGAAGGCAGGAGACAGGTTACAATCAGCAACCTGGTGGAGGTGCTGCAATTAGGCCCCCAGTCCCCTAACTCCTTGCTAGTCTCTCCTATCCTAAATAAGCTTCCTCATGGAAAGAGAGCAAGGGCTTGTGACCAAAAACCGTTTCCAGAAAGACAGTCCTACCATACCTCCTCTCTTGTGGTTTACAAAGTCAGCCACAAGCCCCTCCAAAAAGCTGCTCTACAACAGTTGTTAAGAGTCTAATTAGTGCCTCTTCCAACAGTTCAATCCTTTAGCTCAAACACCAGAGTGCTGGGCTTTAATGTCCACAGCAGCAGGTTGAACGCCTGCCAATAAGCTTACGCAGTGACCATCGGGCCCCCTTTGCTACCACATCTGTCATTCAGGCAAGACACACCAAAGCCAGCACTTTTAAACTTGACCTCTGCAGTAACCACATGCGTTAAGCTCCCGCAGGCAGCAGCCCCCATTGCTTTAGTACATCAAGCCAAGATACCCAAATTTGGCCTAGCCTGCCCTCCCGAGCTCCTTCCCAGCACCAGGCCCACTGGATACTCCTCCCTGCCCCTTGCCTCAGAACACGGTTGTGCCGGAAGTTCTCACGATGGCCAATTTCCACTGCGACATGTGCTGAGGACCAGCTGGGGTGGTTGCGGAAGCAGTCACTGAGCTGCTGGAGATCCTCCAGTGACAAGGGCTGGCATGAGCTCTCATAGAAGGGGCGCAGCTGCCCAGCATACTGCTCAAAATGCACCAGGGCATCTGCTTCATTGTCAAGTTGGAAGAGCCTGAAGGAAAGGCAAATGCAGCATTGGTCCCACTCAAAGAAACAACCTCCATTCTATGTGTCTGGGAAAAACTGCTCTTCTCCAAATATTAGTGCTGGGAACTTTCCCATTCCTCTTCATCTGGTGTCATGTTTGCTCTAAGGGAAGAAGGGAGCCTACTTCATTGACAGAGAGCACCTCCTCTTTCTGAGAAACGTTAACTTTTAGGCCGAAGTATCCTGTGCTCCAGATGCTAAAGCAGCAATGAATATGAGTGGAAGTGCATATACCTGTGGATCTTCTGACCCAAGTAGCTGTAACTAGCTAGTAACTGTAGAAAACAGTTACCTGTTTTCACAGTGTTTGGACTCTGTCCTATCCTGTCCTCACAAGCTGTTTTGATAATGCCTCCACCAGCACACACAAGGGCTTCCCACTGCTCATGAACCTACTTGCTGATCAAACACCCCACCCCACAGCCAGAGCTGTGATACACTGTGGTCCCAACGTCAGAGATTTTGGGTCTTCAGTTTCATGCTTGAGTAGCGATTGCTAAAGGTCTGTCACTTACCGGAAAGCAACCTGGGGGGTCTGGGGATTCACCAGCAGGCAATCCCACGAGCGAGAGAAGCTGTTCTTATACAGGGCCACCCTGCCCTCCTCCCTCAGGCAAGTGTGAGCAGCATACTCTGCAGCTGGCACCTCCTTCACTCGGTAAGGGCTTGTGAATATCTGGGTGACACTGTTGATGGTATTCACCAGCCGGCCAAAGAACTGCATCTTTCTGGAGCCTCAGGCAGCTTCTCCCCGGCGTCCTGAGGGGAACCCAGTCACAGGCTCCGCCCGGCTCAGACAGGCCCCTGCCCTTCCCTGAACTTAGCGGCCCAGCGCCAGGAAAGGAGAACCGAGAGTCGCCGGGATGACACACCACCCGGGAGAAAAGCCCAGCACCTGCGGTTTCTTTCCTGGCTCCTCCGGGAAAAGGACCCGGTTCTCCTCAGTGCCTCACAGCGACCGCCGACCTCTGACCGCCCTCTCACGTGCCTTACTCCGCCAAGTCAGCGGGAAGCAACCCCCTCCACGG